AAAAAAAAACAAAGTTAGTAATAATATTAAAGATTTATTACAGGAAGATTTATTATTATTAAGTCTTAACATCTCAAATTTCATGTATTTTTTTATCAAGTTACCTAGGCTTTTATGTAACACTATCAAATAAAGATGATTATGATTATGATCATCGATTGCGATCTAAGTCGAAGTTCAAACCTCCATCCGAGAGGCACGTAAGTCGTGATCGTGAAAAGAGACAACATTTCTCCTAACACTAACAAGGAAAGGGGCCCATTCACTATCCTGCCTGATAGTCCACTGACTTGCTGTCCGCTTTTTTTTTTACAGGATTTTGAATGTTATTGCAGCCTCCACGGCGTCCGGCTACACTGAGCAGGATGCAACTAAAAGTTTTGCCCATCGCTTGCAATTCACCCCGAAGGAGTGTCAGTGAATAATGTCAGTGATTTGGCGTCCTTCGTATTGGCAGTTTTACCATTTGATATATGTTCACACACGGAGTAGGGAAAATAAGTGGAAGTGCCATGTGGGCTAATGCCCAGGGTAATCCCGAAGACCACAGTTAAGCGAAACTGTTACTAACTGAAGGCCAAATGAATTCTGACGCGATTGGAGACGCACGCGGCATGCGCTATCGCACATGTTCTCCCGATAATAAATCCTAAAAGCCGTATAGCGTAATTTATTACTGCAAAAATAATAACCGAACAAAAATGTCTCCGAAAAGAAAAGGTTTCACATCACAAGCAAGCGCTATTTTTGTATATTTTGCAAAATTAAACAATTTTACGAAAAATCGAAAATTTTATTAGAAGTCCTTAGTAACAAAATTTTCATTGTCTTGATTGAACGGCGTCAACGTCAATTTTTCATCCGTCAGGCGTCAAGTCAATGTCAAATTCTGGCTGTGGCTCTCTCTGAGGACTGGTGGTCATCAAACATCCTCTTCATCATTTCATTATAAAAGTTAGGCAAAAATAAACAACCATAAGTGTTTTTTGGCGTATTCATTGAAAACCGCCAAAAAAGAAAAGAAGAAGAAGAAGAGGACTGGTGGTGGTGCTGGTGACTCTTGAATACGTGATCGAAAACAAAGATCGAAGCAGTATAAAGGTTTCAGTCAGTATATTTCAGTATATACTATATATCATAAATATGTATCATGGGCGAGGTAGTGAGCGAGTAAATTAGTGTCTCATCCATAATATGAAACTATATACTTTTATATCAGTATTCACTATTGAGTAAATTTTCCATAGTTTGTCGTTTTACTGAAACTTAAGTAACGATATGCACCGTCGTGATGAAAACTTTCCAGATAATGGATTCGAAGCTTGGGGAGGTTACATGCACGCGAAAATTGCAAAATTGGAGCACCAATTTTCAAAAAAAGTAGGAAATGAAATTAACAAAGTTTCTGATTTATTCCATGATATATCAATTTACGTAAATGGATTTACAAAACCCTCTGCTGATGAACTGAGAGAACTTATGTCTAAACATGGTGGAGTTTATCATACTTATCAGAGAAGTAACGACTATATTATTGCTTCCAACTTGCCCGATACTAAAGTTAAAAATATGTCACTGGCCAAAGTAGTGAAACCAGAATGGATAACAGATAGTATTACTGCTAATCGTTTGTTGGACTATAGACAATATTTATTATACAAAAATTCTAGAACTCAGGCCCAGATTAATTTTACTAAAACCACAAAAACAGAAAATGTTAACATTGATACTTCAATCAATGCAGGGCCTGTTGATAATAAGAGCTGCAAGGAATTGCACACTTCATGTAGTAAAAACATAGGTGCTGGAATACTAGATTCAGTGTCTGAATGTAAGAGAAATGCCTGTACAGTAAAAACGGCAGTTGATCCCAACTTTATTTCAGAATTTTATAACAACTCCAGACTTCATCATATATCACAACTTGGAGCTTATTTTAAACAACATGTGAATGATATGAGGGAAACTAATGATTTTTCTTTTCCTGCCCGAAGTTTTCTTAAAAGTAGCATACAGGCTTTGAACAATAATGTTTCATGGTCCACAACAAACTTTGAAAGTGGAAAAATAATTATGCATATAGATATGGACTGCTTTTTTGTATCTGTAGGTCTGCGTAACAGACCTGAACTACGTGGCAAGCCTGTTGCTGTGACACATTCCAAAGGTACTCTAGGCCAAACAAAAAGACCAGGTGTGGATAGAGCTACTGAGTTTAATCTTTACAAACAGAAACAAGCTAACAAAATGGGTAAGGCTCTAGGCATTCCAGAGGATGGTTTTAGTTTTGAAAGCAGAGTTGACAATGTGGGTGAGGAAGGTGATGAATATGGGTCTATGAGTGAAATTGCCTCATGTTCATATGAAGCAAGAGCAAAAGGAATAAAAAATGGGATGTTTATGGGTGCAGCTTTGAGATTATGCCCAGACTTACAGACAATACCTTATGATTTTGAAGGCTATAAGGAAGTTGCCTATACTTTATACAACACAATAGCTCAGTATACACTAGATATTGAGGCAGTTTCTTGTGATGAAATGTATGTTGATTGCTCTGAACTTATAAATGATTTACATGTCAGTGTTCAAGATTTTGCCACCTTATTAAGAGAAGAAATAAAAAGTAAAACAGGATGCCCATGTTCTACTGGATTTGGTGGAAATCGTTTACAAGCCAGACTCGCCACAAAAAAGGCTAAACCTGATGGCCAATTTTTTCTTACCTCTGAACTAGTTGAAGACTTTATGTACAGTATCAGTTTGAGAGACTTACCTGGTGTTGGGAGACAAACAGCCCAGAAATTAGAGTCTTTAGGGCATCAGACTTGTGGATCTTTACAGTCTCTAACTTTAGGATTACTACAGAGGCATTTAGGTAATAAAACCGGAGCTCAACTTTTTGACCAATGCCGTGGTAAAGATTCAAACCCACTGACATTTCATAATGTAAGAAAGTCAGTATCTGCAGAGGTGAACTATGGAATAAGATTCGAACACAATGACCAATGTTTTCAGTTCTTGAGACAATTATCAGCAGAAGTACATTCCAGAATGCAACAATTCAAAGTCTTAGGAAAATGTATTACATTAAAATTAATGATCCGAGCTGAAGAGGCTCCTGTAGAGACAGCAAAATTTATGGGGCATGGGTTTTGTAATGTTATAAATAAGTCAACTTCTCTAGCAAATCCCACTAATGATGTTGAAATAATAACTAAAGAAGTTATTTCACTTTGCAAAAAACAAAACATAGATCCCAAAGAAATGAGGGGTCTCGGAATTCAGATTTCAAAGTTAGAATCCATGTCTAAGCTTAATAAAGTAGGGATAGCTAAATTTTTGAATAAAAATATGACATACAACAATTATAGTAATATTGTACTCACTGAAGATAGAACAAGCTCTTTGCTTGAAAAAAATGCCATAAAAAGTGAAGATGGCAATAAATTAAGATTATTAAAAACTCCAAAAAAGGAAAATATTGGGTTATCACCAGTGAAGAAAGTACCTAAAGTTGGATTAAGCAAACCATCACCATTGAAGAAGAGAGGAAGGCCTCCAAAAATATTAAAAGACAATATATCAACATCAAAAAATACGATGAATAAGTTTCTTTGGGGGCAAATGCAATGCAGTGAAGAAATCCAAAGTAAAAATGAATACAAAAAAGAAGTATTTGAGTTAGTAAAAGCAGAAGAACAAAGACAACATGGATTATTAGGTCTCCCATGGGTAAAAGTACGGGAATTATTGAGGGCATGGTTGGATAGTGGACAGAGTCCAAAATTCTGCGACACCCGCATGATATCTGCTTATTTATGTAAATTAGTTTCTGATAAAAATATTGACAAACTGTATATTTTGTTAAATTTTCTTAGGAGAAGGACTCAGGAATTAAACAATGAAATTTGGACAGGAGTACATGACTATGTATTACAAGAAGTCCAAAATTCTATGATGGTAGTGTACGGCAAAAAATTGTGGGTAAATGATTGATACACCATTAATTATACTACAAATTTATAAAAAAAGAAATCTTATTCTTCACTCATTTATTCCAAATTTGTTTTTATTAAAAATATGAACATGGATTTTTATTATTAGGTGTTAATTAATAAAATATTACTTTATTTAAATTTCATTTTCAGCATCTATTAATATTTGCCAACTTAATTAGCTTACTTGATTAAAGTTCTTTGATTTAATGCAAAACGACAACTACGGGGTATAGAAGACTTGTTACAAGGTTTATGAAAGATTTGAGCTATACCTAATATATTAAAATAAAACTACAATTATCGCATTTTAATTATCGTGCTGATACAATTCAAAGGACTAATGAATCTCGAAATAACCATAGTGAAGCTTATTAAAATTTGGATTTAGATTTCACTTATGTTACAATTTAAAATGGCAGTTAGTATCACTATTATTAATAGGCACTAGCAATATATAAACAGGCAGACTCGACTTTGTAAACCCTCACACAATTTTGGTGCAATGTATCATACATGTATAAAAATAATTACAATATCAGCCATGATAAGTAGGTCTTCTTTATAGCATTTCATTCAACTATAATTTATTATCACAGTTTTCATAGCAAATAAAAACGCACCTGCCTCTTATTGATCACACAAGAAATAGTGTTAATGACAAATCCATCAATACTCACAGAATAAAGTCGCTACTTATATGAATAATATGTACTTAAAACATTACAGCTATCAACTTAAAAATAAATCATTTTGTGACAACCTTTACAACATCACCTATTTCTACTTTAATCCCAAAATGTAAATGAAACTCTCCTTAAGACCAAGAAAAAGACAACATTGCATTGTTAGTAGAAAATGAAATTTTGTTAATGAATTCATACAAGTTTGTGAAAACATATTGGCATTACATTGTATTGTCTATGGGTAACACTATGGTTTATTAATTGGGCACTATATTTTCAATAAGACAGCATCCGATATTTTCATGAGAATATCGGTCTATGCAGTCGAGCTGATGGTGTGTTTCAACTTGGAGTCAATGATGATCTCGTCACCAGATCTTATGTTGTATGAGTACAGCTGCTTCGTGGGATATTTCATCTCCTCCGGGCCCTGGAAAAACTCCAGAAATAAATATATTATGTTAGTTTAATCTGAACAATGGGGATCACTGACACAATTTGGCTTTAGTCAAAGATCGCTCTGTGTAGTTAAAATTTAGTTTGCGCAATGCCCAGTTGATTTTTTTGTACATCTCTTAGCTTCCCTGGACATATCTTCCTCTTCTTCATTAGAATCTATCAATAATTTTCATTAGAATCTATCAACTAATACGAATTTAATTACTGCTATGCTACTGTAGGTGGTCCTTCTTATGCAGCATAAAGTGAAATAGTGAAATGACTGTAAATATTTTCTACAATGTACAAGAAAATTAAAAAAATGTTTAATAAGCATAAATATTAGTTTTCATGCTAGAAAATTAACTTTAAAATTATGAATAATTTATGAGGTTACAATTATTTTTTTTCTATATAAAAGAACTTCATGTATTGTATTCTATGGAGTTTAATTTAATTTTATTTAGTTTTCCCGCCGCTTCAAATTATATACAATGTGCTTTGTGTCCTCATGTCTTGTGCGGTCATGAGACAAACTTGGGAATGTGAACGAAAAATGTATGAATAATGAAACATTTATTTTATTGTTTAAAATGACTCGGTGGCCAAGTTATCAAGCTTTTAGGGCTACGGGTGTCGTGGGTTCGATCCCCACACGGGACAAGTATTTGTGTGAACCACAGAACAATTGTTCCGTAACCGAGTGCTTGTTCCAAAGGGGAGTTGACGTCAAGCTGGTTGCCGGCCGTAAGAAACCAAGCCGAAATCACTAACAACATAATTCACATGTGCCGACCACACCTAGGTGATAAGGGTAGGAGGATGATGATGATCATTTTATTGGAAATAAAAAATCACCTGTGTGTCCCTAAGCTCCTGGTCGACATAAAAGAGCCTCATCTTTGAGGCCGGGAATCCCGCGAGTCTCTCCAATCGCGTCTTCAAATCTGATACGGTCCTGGAATACGCGTATAACATTTGTAATGAACATCAATGTATCATGAATACTGTCACATATTGACCTAATATTAGAACTGTAGCTCAGCGGGATGTCCTAAAAAGGAAAAAAAAAGAAAATGTGTAGACCAGGGGTGAGCAACCATTTTAATCAATGGGCCAATTTAAATTTAAATTTTTTTTGGCGGGCCGCACATAATAATTTACGAAATTTTATTTATAATAAATATTAGAATAATAAAATATAAAATTAAAAAATGAAAAAGATTTCATATACAAATTTTAATGCAAGGTAAAAACAAACAAGAAAAGAACAGAAAAATGAACAAAAAATATCTCGGTTCAGTATGTACTACCATTTTATTATAATTAATTTCATGACAATATATTGATGGGAGAAATTCGATAAAATAAATTCAATTTTAGAAATGCTTGGCGGGCCGCATAAACATGTTTAACGGGCCGCAAGCGGCTCGCGGGCCGCGCGTTTTCAATCTCTTTCTTTCCAAATAACGCGCTTTCAAACAAGTGAGCTGGCGGTGGTTTTTGACGATACCTATATTTAATATAAAAATTTTGACCGACTTAGAGAAGCTAAGGTCCCCCACCTGTAAACATCAACGGTGCGCACTTCGCTAGTGTCGCCGCAAGTGAAGGTGATCTGGACTCGCTTCTCGGGCCGCAGGTCTACGGACACCAGAGGGTCCAGTTTTCCGTGGACGCCGACCAGCTCCCAGTATCTGTAAATTGAATCATCAATATGAGCATATATATGAGTTGGCGGTAAAGCGATTACCAACGGAACATGAAAATCAACACTCCAATAGCCTCTTTAAAAGTTTCCTTTGTTAATGTGAGAAGGCGGCAAGCGTGCTGGTGGTTCACCTGGTGAAATGCGGAGTTTTAAATATAAACATCAGATGAACCACCAGTGCAAGATGGCAAATATTTTCACATAAAAACAAACCTGTAATAATCAGGTAATTTCTACTCCATATTTTGTAAACAATAAACGTCATTAGTAAAGGTATATTTTTTATAACCCATAACAATGTTTATTGGCATTATTATCATACGGTTATAGTAATTAAGGTCGAAGCAATATTAATAAATTCACCGCCCACCATGTTCTTTGTTAGACCTTAGCCTGACTAATAATGATATTATGAATGTAAAGATTATACTAAATTTAGAGAAATCGGTTTGCTTTTAGCAGATAGTTTCATATGTTGTATTGATTTACTTGATGTAAGAAAAATATAAATTTTGTCGATGATTAAAATGGTAAGTATAAAAAAATATATTTAATATTCACAATAGCCCCTGGATTTGTATATTGGTAGTTCGGGTGAGTGTCGCAATAAAGAGTTCACATAAGTGTGTTATTCGAAAACAACTCGCAATTCACCTTCTAATAACAGATTAAAGAACTACACATAGCCTGAGTAGAAAGATCGAAATCCAGTTTCGAATAAAAAGATTTAGTAAGCGAAACGTCAGTGTTTTATTAAACCTCAAATACTTAACAGGCCGAGGTTCTTTGCGCCTTCTATATAATAAATAATAATATATAATAAACATTTATAACTAATAAATAATAATATATGACAGAAACAAAGAACGTCCTTTGTTAAGGTAGGCCACATGGCTTAAGTAGAGCTAGGCATCTTCGAGGTCATAGTCCCTGGTTATTAAGCGAAAACAGTTTCCGCTAATAATAATATGCCCCGAAACGGCATGATAGATACATAGAATAGACCTTTTGACCCATTAAGCCGTACAGACTACAAATAACTAAAGATTGCGTACAGGAATGGTGATAGAGTACTAAATATTTTGTGATAAAAAAACAAAACAGCCGCGAAAGGTGTATTTTGGCAAGACCACAGAAACGTTAGCACGGATATCTCAGGCATTGTGACGGATAATAAAACGCTGATGGCATTAAGTCCTCCTTTGTACATACACGTGTGTGTGTGTGTGTGTGTGTGGAGGACCTGGAGGACCGAGCTTTGCTCGGTGTTTTTTTTTTGGTAAATCGTATATTTTGGAAATTAAATTTAGATACAAATTACTGAGTAATGAAATATGCATAATATTTTTCGATCTTACCGACGTTATAATAAGAAAATATGAACTGTGTTTTTCACAAAAGAAAGAACTTTAAAAAAATGTAAAAAAGAACAAAATCATCTGGATCGACAAATATCTATATATACAAGAATTGCTCCTTTAAAGGATAAGATAAATAAATACTTTCACTAAATATTTTTAACAGTGTTATCTAGTCCCAAACTATGCCTAGCTTATACTATTAGGGGCTTATACTGGGTGACTGTTAAAAATACTTTCAGGTCAATGCTAAAAAAAAAAGAAAGAATAATTACCTGTCTGGGCGGTCTGCTTCGGGCTTCTCCATGTAGTATCGTATGAAGGCCCGCTCGGCAGAGTCGCGCTCGTCTGCAGGCACCGCGCCGCCGCCGTTCAGGGTTCGCACCCGAGGCAGCCTCGCAACTAACAGCAGCCGCCTCTCGTGCTCCGTCGACTCGAAACGCTCCCACAGGGGCCAGCCCTGGGGAAGACGTGGCAACGGCTCCTCGTTTGTACTGCTGTCGGCTATTTCGTTATGGCCGGTAGCGGTGAAATGTTGCATCGATTGACCGCAAGAGAGAATTTGCCCGTTTTCACTTTAAAGTAATAGTAAAAGAGCTATGACAGCTCAGTGTCCGGGCGTTCGCCTTTAATTCAATATACTCGAGCAGCCTGAGTTCGATCCCCGGTGCCGGCACCAATGAAGTTTTTATCTTTAAGTGCTGACTTATCACGTGCTCCGCGGTGAAGGAAAACATCGTGAGGAAACCTGCATATTTTCGAAATAATAACATATGATATAATAATAAATTTCGAAGATATGTGAGTCCGCCAATCCGCAGTGGGGCCGCGTGGTGATCTATGCCCTGATACTCTCTGTATAGAGGAGGCCTTTGCCCAGCAGTGTGACATGTATAGGCTGTTTTTTGCTGTGTCCGGGAATTCGCGTTTTATTCAATTTCTCGAGTAATATAACAGTTAAGTATTGACGCGGATGATAAGGTTGATTGAAATTTTAAGTGAAGGAAAAAAATCGTGAAGAAACCTGCTTTATTTTGCAAATATAAAAAAATAACAGTTCTAAGATATGGGAAGTGAAGAGGTGGGGTCGCGTGGTGGACTATACCCTAATACTCTTTGTACCGAGGAGGCCTTTGCCCAGCAAGGGGACACATATAGGCTGTTTCTTTATTTCACTTTTGTGTCGGAATAGAAAGTAATATAATTTCTTGATTAAACTAAGATATAGCTCAAAAACACGAGTCAGTAACAGTCGAATTTACAGGGAATGAAGTTTAATTAAGATGATAAATTAATGGTGGGATTTGGTGATATTAAAGTGTCAATTCTTAATTATGATATGAATTTTTCTGGTGAATTTAATTTTTTCAATGTTTATGAAAGATCATTTTAATTCAAAAGTTTCATACGCGCTTAAGGATAAAACGTTTACCACAAGCGTAATTGAAGGTTGAAACGTGTTTACTTTTTTACATTATATCACTTGTGCGTTTTTAAAGTCAAGGTTAAGGGAAAGGTACACGCAGTGAGTAATAACGTAATGCCGCCAGCATTTACTAATATACTACACTATTTTACTAATACAATATTTTAATCGAAAGCTGCTACTTACGTTACTACCCTTTTTCTCAAATAATTTTAAGATTAAAGATTTGAAAATAATGTCATCGTGGGTCTCGTCTAGTCTATTACATTTCTTTGAGACATTTCTTCTTTTATGACAAAGTTAATTTTACTAATGTAAATCAGATTGTCACATATGTTAATTTTGTTTGGGTGACCCCAACATCACTGTTAACATACCATCAGGATTGATGCCAGGTTCCTATATTCAACTCACAGCCGTTAGTTATATAGCTTTCATAACGACTTGTAGATAAAAGGCGTGTACGCCCCTTTCCTATATTAACAAAACGAGGCGTTTTCCTTACGAGACGTTGCATTACCTACGGTAAGTGAGTTACTAGCGTACCTTTAAAGTTCTACAAGTCCACTATGCAACGAACGGCCGTTCGTTGAATATAGGAACCGGGCTTAAGAGAAATCAGAGCTTGTCATTAGATCCTTGTAAATCATTGTCTTTGTCGTACATAACTATATACTCAATCTTATCCAACAACGTACAAAATTTAACCAAATCTATTTTCAAACTTAGTTAAATGATATATTTAGACACGATCGATATCAGTTCGTCTTAATCTAATATGGCCTGTGCAGAAGGCTTGCGACGAAAGCATATATTAATGATACGAGAATAGAAGTTGCAACATTGCATTAATTTATGTTTTATTATTGATCGTAAAACTTTTGAGCCCTTTCCCCGTTTAAGATAGAGACAACATGACGTTTAATAATAATATAAAAATAGTTGGCTTATAATTAGGCGTTTTTTTTCTTTAAAAAGAATTTTATTTTAAACTTTACCAAGTTATGTACATAACGTAATGTAATAAATGTTTGCGAACTGGATTGAGCTGATGTCACCTCCTAAAACATAGTTTAAAGGAAGAGAAGAGAACGAAATAAGGCCCTTGGGGCACTCTAGCGTTTATGATTCATACAAAACTTGCGGGGACATGTTGCAACGTCACAACCCTTACACACGACGAAGGATGTGTTATTAGCAACGCAAATATAGGCAAAAAGTAGACGGTCCAATAATAAACGTATTTGTTTCCTTCCCAAGGTGAACTGGCACGGGTTGCCGTTTAAGACGAGCTACGAATCTATGTAAGGCGTCCGACCGATGGATTTGTTAATGAGGAATAATTTTTTACACCACTATTAGATGCGAAGACACGTTTGACCTTCCGTCGGTGATTATTTTCGCGTACTCTTCTAAGAAATAGATGAGGAATATTATGCGGTTGTATATAACTTGACTTTAAATATCCGCACTAATTAGGCGGCGCTTGAAATTTAACAAAAGTCATAAATTAGAAAGCTTTAAAATAAGGTTTCCTTGTTCGGTTGTGTGAATTTTTGTGCAATTCGTTCGTCACGATGAAATTTTGAGGCGTTATGCCCACGAATACAGTAATATGACTAAAGAGCGTTTTCATTCTCAAATTGAAATGGAGGTACAGTATAATATCCCCAGTGCTGAAGTAATTTTTTATATTTGTGTTAAAATGTTATGGACTATATTCGTAGCAAGTATGAAAACATAAAGTAAGTGTGCTTTAAAATAAGTTACTTCTTTAGGGCAAAGATAATATGCTATTTATACAGCCTTCAGCCAATTGGCAATCAAAGCTATCGTCAAGACTTAACACTAATACCTATTGTCTCTTGTAGAAGGTTTAATTTTTTCTCGATGATTTCGGTTCCCGTCTTCGAGACATAAATATAAAGTCAACCTTTGTAGTACAATGTAAAATAGCTTATAGAGTTGAAAACTACGTTCGCAATGAAACATTTTAATTCCAGCAACATAATAAAAGCTGTACGAAATATATTATCACATTGGGTTGTGGACTGTTGATGCAGGTGGTTCGGCCTAAATATTGAGCAGTAGACTTTAACAGGTTGTAGTGATGGTGATGATTAAGATGATGATGATGAAAGGGTACAAATGTAATTTAATTATGCGTTAAATATAATTTCATCTGTACTGGGCCGAATCGATTGTACGTGTGCTGCGTTTACCTTGATGGGCCGCTTTGCCTTAAAACGGAAGGCGGAAGACATGCATGTAGCCAGACGGCCATTAAGAACCGCATGCACGAGATATATGCACGATCATTGCTTATTGAATTACGGAAGAGGCATTTTATAGTTCGTCGTGAAATGTATCGAGTGAGTTTCTTAGTTCATTTTATGTACAGTTGAACAAACAAAATCGACTTCAAACCTTACTCACTATACATTTTCTATGTGATTATGTAGTTTCTGGGTTTACCTATAGAGTCCAATGCCAATAAAATATGACTAAATGGCAGCTGAACTGAGTTCTTAGGTTACAAACAAAAATACAACCGAATTCGAAAAAATAGCCAATAATAATTTTGGAGGCCTGTTGAAAAATCAAGACTGGCAAAACAATATTCGTATGGACTTAAATGCAACTGAATGTTTTTAAATGTTTTCTTTATTTAAAAGTACGGAAAAGTAAATTGCAAAAATAGATTATATAAAAAATTGTTACAGAAGTAATCGAATCTGGCGCGTTAGGATTATTCGTTGTTTGTTTTATAAATATAACGAGTTCCTAAAAACATTGATGACTCCTTTATGAATCACTAGCTGACCCGGCAAACGTTGTTTTGCCATATAAATTATTTGTAGGGTAGAAAAAAATGTTTTAGGTGGACCACTCTTAACATTGAGGGGGGTGAAAGATGGTGTCCGATTCTCCACCTTGGCCAATATGCACACAAAGTTTCGGAGGAGTTCAATTACAAACACCGTGACACGAGAATTTTATATATTGGATTTGGCTAGGTTTTTAATTAAAATAAGATACCTATAAAGTTTTTAATAAAGCCGAGGTTTTTAATTCAAATGAGATGAATATTGTACTTATATAAAAGAGAAGTTTAAAATTTAAGCAATACACAATAAAAGCTAAGAATATAAAGATTTACATTTTTACAAAGAAGATATGTTTAAATATTTCAAATTTAATTAAAATGCCCAAACTTTTGTTTTCTTTAAATTGCATATTCGCCTACTTTTAAAGTTAGTCCAAAGCGACACTATCTTATTTTAGTCTGGAAACAACATTACTTGAAAAATCAACACTATAATGACTTTTCTTAAGTATTATAAGGTATAGGATTGTTCAAAAGCATGTAACATTTACTGATATATTTTTATATGCCTGTTCGATTAAATCAGTCCTTAGTATGCAAACGAAACGGCGACTAGAGAGCCTTTCCGCTAGTCGATAGTAAGGAGAATGAGCAAATATACACAAGGGGGAAGTTTCTGGGTCAAGCGGCGACCTGCCGTCACTGCATCAATATAAATTAACGAACTATTGGACTGTTTTACATTATCTATCGTAGAAGCCCACGTGTTGTTTCCAATTGTCTGCGCTACCTCAATTGGAATGTAGGCATAACTAAATAATAAATATTATTGAATTATTCGTGACTATTTGTTTCACAAATAAAAAAAGTCTCACGATAATTCACTATAAGTGTCTCGTGTGAGAGATAATGTTGTTAGGTCCGGAGAATTATAAAGATTCGTCAGTCGCAGACCCCAGTTTGAAAGACCCTTCACTAGTAGACATGTCTGAAATACTTTAAATGACTTGCTGTCAACAGACATGGTGAGCAAGTAGTGCTTTGCTAGTTAGTAACGTGATACAAAAAAACAATAATTTCACGATATCGAAAGAGTCGAGAGTGTAATTATATTCAAGATTTCTTTCCATTCTAATACTTCTGAACGTGAAAACTTTTAATTGACCTTCTGTATTTGTTTCTCAACACTTTAATTATGTGCTAGCTG